AATGATCTTCTAAATAAAAGAAAACCTCATGTAATATTTAAAAAATGCATACATGTTTTAAATCTTAATGTTTGTTTAAAAATTTTATGAGATTAAAATACTTGTGAAATGCACAGTTCTTAACTATACAATTTAATGACTTTTTTTTTTTAAAAAAAGATTTATTTATTTATTTGAAAGAGTTGCAGAGACAGAGGGAGAGAGAGAGGTAGATCTTACATCTGCTGGTTTACTCCCTAGATGGCTGTAATGGCTGGGGCTGGAGTGGGCTGGAGCCAGGTGCTTCTTACAAGTCTCCTGCCTGGGTAGCCGGGGTAAAGCCCTTGAGTCATCTTCTGCTGTTTTTCCCAGGCCATCAGCAGGGAGCAAGATTAGAAGTGGAGCAGCCAGATGCATGAACCAGTGCCATTGCAGGCTGCAGCTTTACTGGGTACGCCACAATGCTGGCCCCAGTTTAGTGAGTTTTGCTGAATGTGTACACGTGTGTGATAGCCCCTCTGATATAGGGGGTAAGGTAGCTAGCCGAGCTGGCGGCACAAACCTCAAGGCCCTGCCTCATGCAATACTATCCTGTTTGCCAGGACACCCTCTTCCCAGGATGCCTTATTTTCATCAGGGACCTAGGAAAGTATGCATATTAAGCTCCACGTGGAATTTTATGGAGGTGTCATAAATCTCCCATAAAAGGAGGTGCTGGGAGGTGCTTGTTCTCTTCAGTCAAGAGACAGGTCAGGAGGAGCTGATGGTGTACCCCTCTCTTGGCTTCGCTTCCCCTACCTCTTCTGTCTCTGACCCACTCTCTTCCACTCTTCAACTATGCCCATCTGTGTGTGCATCTGTGTGTGTGGGTGTGTTTAAAGCTTTCTTACCTTTTGAATAAACTTTATCATTTTATGCACCATATATGTGTCTGGATTTAGATGCTTTTTAAGTAAAAGACAAGGACCTGGGTTAACATTAGACGCCATTTCTCCCACATTACCTCCACCCAATGGTTCCTTTAGTTAATTCTCAGTTGTGATCTCTTTTACCGTAGATGAGTTTTTGTTGTGCTTGAACTTCACATAAATAGAATCATACTGTCTGTATTCTTCTGTGTCTGGCTTCTTTTGGTCAGAATGTTTGTGAAATTCATCCATGTTGCATGTTGGTAGTTCTTTTTTTAAGAAGTATTTATTTATTTGAGAGACAGAGTGGGGACACACAGAGAGAGGGATCTTCTGTCTGCTGGTTCACCCTCTGAATGACTGCAACAGCCAGGGTTGGGCTATTCTGAAGCCAGGAGCCAGGAACTCCATCCGGCGTGGGTGGCAGGGGCCTGAGTACTCAGGCTACCATCCACTGCCTTCCCAGGTACACTAGCAGGAAGTTGGATTGGAAACAAAGAGCTGAAACTCTGGAGGGGTGGAAGAGTTGAAATCCGGGAACTCAAACCCATCTCCCAAATGAGTGGCGAGGACCCAACTTTTGAGCCATTGTCTGTTGCCTCCTGGTGTGTGCATCAGCAGGAACCTGGAATCAGGAGCCCAGCTGGGACTTGAACCTAGACACTCAATATAGGATAAGGGTCTCCCACATGGTGTCTTAACTGTTAGTCCAAGTGCCCACCCCAGATTTCATCCCTTTTTGTGGCTGAATCTGTGTATGTGCCACATTTCTTTTTATCCATTCATCAACTGATGGACACACAGGTTGCTTCAGTTTCTCAGCTGCTGCGAATAGTGCTGGAATTAACATAGGAATACAAAGAATCTCAACAGAGTGATTTCATTTCCCTTGGGTATATACTCAGTCGTGGGATCGCCAGGCCACTTGGTAATTCTGTTTTTAGTTTGTTGAGGCACCTCCGTAATGATTTCCACAATGGTTTTATTAATTTACAGATTTAAAACTTCAAATGACTCTGTTAAATGTTGACTTTGAGCTAGATTTAATATATAGAATTTTTTAAAATTTTTTTTATACTTTGAAACTTTGTCCTTAATAGAAGAAAGAATTAATACAATAAGACAGTAAAAGACCCTTGATCATATCCAATGATCTTCTGTCAAGAGGTAACCACGATTAACAATTTCTTATTTGTGCTTCCAGGGATTTGTAGGCATAAACATCCAAATATATATTTATTTCTGCTATACTTTGTTTTTGCAATATAAATTTATACTATCATGTTTTCCAGTTGGTTCTTTTAATTTAAAGATAAATATCAATTACCTTCATTAATATTTATAAAATTGGAGTAGAAACCTTTTGAAATATCAAGTATTTTGCCAAAATATAGTTGGAGTTTAGAGTTGGTTAACATTTAGATCAAGATAATAGATAAGTCCTTTTCTTTTTGAGAAATTCATCAGGGGCCTGTGCTGTGGCTTAGCAGGTTAAGCCACTGCCTGCAATGCCAGCATCCCATATTCACTTGAACAGCAGCCTGTTAAGTCCCAGCTGCTCCAGTTAGGATCCAGCTCCCTGCTAATAGGCCTGGGAAAGCAGTGGAAGATGGCTCAAGTACTTGGGAACATTGGAAGAAGCTCCTGATTCCTAGCTTTGGATAAGCCCAGCTCCAGCCATCGAGGCCATTTGGGGTGTGAACCAGCGGATGGAATATCTCTCTCTCTCTCTCTGACTCTTCCTCTCTCTTTCTCTGTAACTCTTTCAATAAGTAAATAAATGCATCTTAAAAAATGGAATTCTACAAGCTAGTTTTCTTAATAATCTGACTATAAGAGGTTATAATAAAACTCAATTTTTATATCAACTAATGTTTCTTGAGTACTGTCTTATACCAAGAAATCTTCTAAGAAGTTGACATATGGTAATGAATATGACAAGGTCCTTGTTTTTATGGCGTGTATATTCTAAACATATTTAAATGGGAAGGTGTTATTGAGACAATGTATTTTACAATCTAAGAGGTGCACCTTAATCTTCTTTCTTATTTTTGAAAGGCTGATACTTTAAAAAAATTATTTATTTACTTGAAAGTCAGAGTTACACAGAGAGAGGAGAAGCAGAGAGAGTGAGAGAGAGAGAGAGAGATCTTTCATCTGCTGGTTGACTCCCCAGATGGCTGCAGCTGGAGCTGTGCCAATCCAAAGCCAGGAGCTTCCTCCAGGTCTCCCACATGGGTGCAGGGGCCCAAGGGGTTGGGCCATCTTCTACTGCTTTCCCAGGCCATAGAAGAGAGCTGGATTGGAAGTAGAGCAGCCGGGACTCGAACCAGCACCCAGATGGGATGCCAGCACTGCAGGCGGCGGCTTTACCCGCTATGCCACAGCGCTGGCCCCAAGGCTGATACTTCTTTAGAGTTCTGATTATGTTTGCAAAGATGATGGAACATTATTTTGGATAATTTTTTTCAAAATTAACACTATATATATGTATATATCTGGAATACTTAATTGATTAAGAAACTAGTTGAGATGTAGGCATTTTGGCTTAGCAGTTAAACTTCATTCTTTATTGGAGTACCTGGTTTTGAGTCCCAGCTCCATTTTCCATTCCAGCTTCCTACCAATGTGCACCTTGGGAGGCAGGAGGTGATGGCCCCTGCCACCCATATGGGAAACTCAGATTGAGTTCTTGGCTCCCAGCTTTGAACTGGCCCAGCCCTGGCTGTTGTATTTGGGGAATGAACTAGTAAATAGATCTTCCTTCTCTCTCTCTCTTTCTCTCTCAATCTCTCAATCAGATTTGTCTTGCAATCCTTCCAATAAGTAAAGATTAAAGAGAAAAGAAGAGAGTGGTTGAGTTTTTTTTTTGTTTTGTTTTGTTTTGAAATAGGGGAGGGAGGTCTAGCATCATCTGGTCTTTCTTGTTTTTGATGTAGAAACTAGAAGAAAAATTAAAATGTAAGAATCAAAGATTTTACAGATTTTTTTTTTTTCTGACAGGCAGAGTGGACAGTGAGAGAGAGAGAGAGAGAGAGAGAGAAAGGTCTTCCTTTCCCATGGTTCACCCCCCAGTGGCCGCTGCAGCCGGTGTGCTGTGGCTGGCGCACTGTGCTGATCTGAAGCCAGGAGCCAGGTGCTTCTCCTGGTCTCCCATGCAGGTGCAGGGCCCAAGGACTTGGGCCATCCTCCACTGCATTCCTGGGCCACAGCAGAGAGCTGGACTGGAAGAGGAGCAATCGAGACAGAATGCGGCGCCCCAGTCAGGACTAGAACCTGGAATACTGGCACTGCAGGCGAAGGACTAGCCTACTGAGCCACGGCGCCGGCCTTACAGGTCTTTTTCAAGACTGGCCATATTGTAGATCTTTTAAAAAATTATTTATTTGAAAATTGGAGTTACAGAGAGAGAGGAAGAGGCAGAGATATTGTCCATCTGTTGATTCAGGTCACAATGGCCAGGACTGGGCTAGCCTGGAGCTAGGAGCTTCATCTGGGTTTCCCATGTGGGCGCAGGGGCCCAAAGACTTGGGTCATCTTCTACTGCTTTTCCCAGGCCATTAGCCGGGAGCTGGATCAGTAGCAGTGGGGACATGAACTGTCATCCATAGGGAATGCCAGTGTTGCAGGTGGCGGTTTTATCTGCCATGCCACAATGATGGCCTCTCTTGCAGTTCCTAAGGTTAATTTTTACACTAAAATAATCTATGACTTTAATTTGTACTTAATATAAAAACAGAACTCTAATATTTTGTCTGAGGCCAACGTCTGAACTCCAGCCATCAATTTCATTGCATCTAGGTCTTAGAATAGTAGCCCAGGAAAGACATGTTTTTTGCAGTTTATCAAATTATTCACTTTTATAGTATTACAACCTAATTTTATGAGTTGATAGAGTAACAGTTTTAAAAACTGGCTCATGATATTTGACAACCCAAAAGGAAGATTTATTTCATGTATTTGGGTCAACTTACTCATGTAAAATCCAATTACTGTATAATCAATTTTGGGTTGTTAGGATTGTGAAGTATTCCCTGTGTTCCAGAAAATTAGCACACTACAAGTATATGAAATATGTAGCCTAGAACTTTTGTTAACTTTTCTTTGTTATAGATTCCACACCAAGTCATCCATCACAAACACCACCAGCCCGGAAGAAAGCTCCCAGTTCTTCATCTCTACAGAAAGATAAAGTTAATAAAAGAAATGAACATGGTGAAACTCGTTCACACATGACAGCTATTCAAGGAGATGTGAAGCAATCAAAGAATTAATAAGTTTAGAGGCAAATGTGAATGTGAAAGATTTTGCAGGTAAGAATGGTTAATTCCAGACTAATATTCAGAAATTCAAACTTTAAACACATCCTGATTACAGCTTCATCTACTTTATTTTATTCCTTTTGCTGAAAGGATATATTCTAGTATTCAGTTTTTTTTTTAATAGGTAGAGTTACAGATAGTGAGAGAGAGAGACAGAGAGAAAGGTCTTCCTTCCGTTGGTTCACTCCCCAAATGGTGGGCGGCACTGTGCTGATCCGAAGCCAGGAGCCAGGTGCTTCCTCCTGGTCTCCCATGTGGGTGCAGAGGCCCAAGCACTTGGACTATCCTCCACTGCCTTCCTGGGCCACAGCAGAGAGCAACCGGGACTAGAACCTAGCACCCATATGGGATGCCGGCGCCGCAGGCGGAGGATTAACCAAGTGAACCACGGCGCCGGCCCCTCTAGTATTCTTTATTATAAATCTTTTGGGTTGTGTACATAAAACCTTGATGTCTGCTGTAATTTCACGTCAATAATTACTCAGATCTGTATGTATTGCACTTACATTTTAGTTGACATTTTGTAGCTCTTCATCCAATTTAGGGGATCTATTTAGATGAGTTTAAATATATAATATTTTCCAAGTAGTTCAGTCAAAATTCTTTTTGAACATTTATTACTGTGAGCATGAGAATTCACTGAGTTATGTTGTCATTTTCATTTTCATTTTCATGACTCAAATAGCATACCAGTACATTCCTACTGTAAAATCAGTCAAACAGTAAAAGTTTGTAGAGAATAATATAGAAATTCCCCTTAATTTTTTTTTTTGGCGGGGGGCGGTTATTTATTTGAAAGGCAATGTTAGAGAGGCGGGGCGAGAGAGAGATATATAGAGCAAGAGCTTCCATCAGCTTGTTCATTCCCCAAGCGGCTGGAAAGGCCAGGGCCAGGCCAGGCTGCAGCCAGGCCCCTGGAACTCTGTCCAGGTCCCTCATGTGGATGCAGGGGCTCAAGGGTCTTATCACCTCCCACAGATTTCCCAGGTGTGTTAGTGGGGAGCCGAACAGGAAGTGGAGTAGGCAGGACTCAAACTGGTGCCCACACGGGATGCTGGCATTGTGGGTGGTGATTTAACCTGCTGCACCACAATGCCTCTTCCCCTCCTCCCCTGCCCCTTCATTTCAGAGTATACTATATCCTTCTGTTTCCTGCCAATGTCTTGCTGTTCTGTAGACTTGTTAATGATCTGGAGGTTATCCTTTAGTACATTTTTCATTATCGTACATAAAACTGAACATTGCCTATGTATAGGCTTTTTGTTTAAACAGATGGAATTATTCCATCCGTATCAGTGTATAGTTCTACCTACTGCCTGTAAGAAAATATTGGGTGATCTATTTTCAAATAATAAAACTAAGAGGCTTAAGTAAGTAAAAAGTAACTCCATCTCAGTCCAGGCCTCCATCTCACAGTCCTCTGCCTGCACACAGCAGTTGCACAAAACAGGAAATTGTGCTCAACCCTGTAGGGTGCAGGCGCCCCGGTTTCAAATGGCCCAACCACAAAGTTTCTATTCCCAGAACAGCTCTGAGCAAACAGCTGTCATTTACTGTAAAATGCTTTCCCCCTTTCTTCTCCTGATCAGCAACCAATGCCCTAGCCAGTCCTCTTTCCCCACCTGACGGCTCAGCATTTCTGCTGGGTGTCCGTTCCCATACTGCCCCGTCTTACAGGACGTCCAGGAGATTTGACCGACACGGTCCTCAGCCAGTGAGGAGCCGGGGGAGGGGCTTGCACAGCACAGAATGAATGCCTTGCTCCCGCTGCTCTGGGTGCCTGCTCGCCAGTCACCTGTCCTGGCAGAGTTGGTCACCTGTCTTCTCAAGGTAGTTAACAAAGCCTGACCTTATTGTGTCTGAGTCCACTCTCTGGTGAGCTTACTTCCCACACTGCCTTAATGCCGTATACATATCTCTCTATGTCTATGTGTGCATATATATTTATATATGATATATGGATACCTTTCATTTTTAACAGCTGCATACTATTTTATAACATGGATTTACATAGACAGTATAGTAAGCACCCTTATCCAAACATGAAGTGTTCCAGTAGAATGGAAACTGCTGAATCAAAGGAGGTACATATTTAACATTTTTGAAATAATGGCAAATTGCTGACCAGGAAATCCTATGTCACTTTATAGTACCATCAGGAGTATATCAAAGAGCTATTTTTCTCATTTCCTCACTAAACTTAGGCATATCAACCTAATTAATAACAATCTGACAAATGAAAAAATAGTTTGGTTTTCCATGATCAGTATGTAATTATAGTTATGTTATAGTAGTGACAATGCACCTAGCTCCTTGTGAATTGCCAGATCCAGTCCTTTGCTCGTTTGCATTTGATTTGGTGCTGTTTTTTAACAAAGTCCTTTATGTAGTCTAAATTGTATCTTTGTCATATATGTAAAGATTTTCACTGTCTGTGACTTTTGCTGTGTGGGAGGCAGAATCCGTCTCCTGCAGGAGGTGAAGCCCGCCTCCCATAATATGGCACTGATAAGGAGTAACCAGCTTTTACACAGCTGATTCATCTTGACTACTAGAAGCTGCAGGAGCTGATTCATCCTCTGATTGGAAGAGAACGGCATGCTGGACACGTGGACAGGCGGAGCATGGATTGGTGGAGAGGACTGTAAAGGAGAAGAGACAGCACGGTGGTGTGGGTTGGTTAGAGAGTGCATTGGAGAGTTTGTGGGGAAGTTCGTTGCTTCGTTCTTTCTCATTTCTCTCTACTCATTCTTGCTTTGGGAGTTCACTGTTTGCTCATTCTTACTTTACTATAGAAAAGACTTGTAAAAAAGGGAACAACAAGCATCCGGTCCGGTGCAGCTCCTCCGCGTGTGGAGGAGCAGCAAATGTGCAGTGACTCGGATCTGGACGGGGGGAAGAAGCTGGAAAATACCGGAGAGAGACTAGGGAGAGCCTAGGAAAAAAGCCGGACGGAAAGTGCCAGGGAGAAGCTAGCGAGAACCCAGGCAAAAAGCCGCAGGGGAAGAAAAATAGAAGCTAGGAAAGAGGCATTTACTGGGGATGCCTGGGAGACTCGGTCTTCCCGCGGTCCTGCCGCTCCAACATGTCATGGACGGTACAGACAGTGGAGTTCTTTGGCTACTCCTTGCCCGCTGGCTACGTCTTCTTCCTCATGCTGGGCACCATCCTCTATTTCTCCCTGAAGTTCATCCATTATGGGCTGAATGTGGTTCCTCTCTCTCTCTCTCTCTCTCTCCCTGCTCCCCACCTCCTCGCAGCTTTTCTTCTAAGCGAGGGAAACGAGTGGGGAGGAAATTTTGTGCATTTGCAAGAGCAGTTGCAGAGATGTCCCCCTGGTTTCTACAGCAGTGGAGACGGGTGGGACAGCAATTGCGTGCAGCTGGGGAATCGATAGACGTGCTAAGGCTGTGGCAACTCATTGATCAAGCACTTCAGGACCCCACGGAAGGGATCGAATTATTGCTTAATGAGGGGAGTGAGTTGCAGGAAGAATCATGGCAGGGCAGCCAGGTGAGCAGCTATTGTAACGAACAAGTGAGAAAAAAATCAAAGAAGGACTACGGGGGGCGGGGGGGTGGGTGGGAGGAGGAAGCTGAAGAGGGAAACTCGCCCCGGAGAGAGATGCCAAGAATATATCCTGGCTCTACAAGGCTGGCAAATTCAACCAATAAAGGATGAATCGCTGCCCCGATATCACCCATTAGTACTGTCAAAGTTTCCTCCTGTAAAGAAAAGCCCTTTTTTTTCCACATGAGATTGAAGAAGAGTGGGAGGAGGAAGAAGGAATGATGGAGGGAGTAGGAATGCAGGAAGAGATAGAAAGGCCAAGAACCAAAAGCAAGCAAAGGGGAGCTGTTTATAAAAAACCTGCTTGGGAGCAATACCAGGAACCAGACCAGGTGTTCCCTGCAATTCAAGATCAGCAAGGAAATAGGAGTTGGACGCCTCTTGATCACAAATTACTTGAATTGCAACAATCAATACAACTGTATGGTCCCCATGCAAGTTTTACACAGGCAATCCTTGATAACGTAGGACAGCAAGGCCCAATACCCGAGGATTGGAGGAACTTAGTAAATGCGGTGTTAGGCGGGGGTGACTTCCTCTTATGATTAGCTGCTTATAGAGAATTTGCTCGGGAATATTCAAAGCAGAACTATAGAGCAGGGAATCAAGCATGGGATGAGGAAATGTTAAATGGAGAAGGGCAATTTGCCAATCCCGATGATCAGGCCTGACTACCAACAGCTGTCCTTTTACAAGTAAGAGATAGCAAGAAGAGCCTGGAAGGTGGTACCCAGAAAAGGTGAGATAAGACACAGCTTGACTAAGATAGTGCAGGGCTCTACCGAACCTTACGCTGACTTCATGAACAGATTAATGGAAGCAGCGGGAAATATTTTTGAAACTGTGGAGGAAGCTATGCCCTTAGTCAGAAGATTGGCATATGAACAAGGAAATAAAACATGTCGTGAAGCTCTTAGACCATGGCAGCATAAGGACATCCCTACCTTTTTGAAAATCTGTAGGGATGTCATGGATGATGTGGCTTCTGGATCACATGCTGCAGTAGCAATGACCCGACAATTTAGACGAGATATGAGGGGACGAAAATGCTTTAAATGTGGTAGAGAAGGGCATTTAATGAGGGAATGTAGGGCGAAATTTCCAGCCCAAGATCAGCAGGGCATGGAGAACTCGGTAAGACCAGGCCTTTGCCCATGCTGTAGAAGAGGGAACCATTGGGTCAGTGAATGTTATTCTAAAATGCATAGATAGGGCAGGCAATCCCCTGAGGGTGCCAAATGGCTGGGCCCCATAAAAAGACCAGGTGTATATGGACAACAGCCAAAAAATGGAAGGTGTGCCCCTGCACCCCGGGGCCAAAACAATCGGTGGGTGCCGGGTGGTCCCAACAATACAGAAACCAAGTATTTACTGCTCAGTTACGAGCCACCAGGTATTCGGTACTGACACCTCAAATGGGAGCACGAGCCATAGAGGTGATAGCAGAAACAGTTTCGGCCGGGCAGAAGGGACTTGGAATAATTATAGGAAAGGCAACAAATGCTCTAAGAGGTCTAATGGTCATTACTGGGGTTGTCCAATTACCCTTTGATAAGTTAAAGGTGCTGCTACAATCCACAAAGGGCATTGTACAAATTAAGCCAGAGGAACCTGTGGCTCAGATGCTGATTATGACTGGAGCACAGGATGTTCGTGGACCCCAAGGGGAGAAATTTGCAGCCTTATCCATGTCTTTAGCAGATCGACCTCTATGGACCTTAACCATTAGAGGAAAGTCGATTCAGGGCCTGCTAGATACGGGCGCAGATGTAAGTATAATTTCGGAAAATGATTGGCTGAAGTCATGGCCCCTTCAGCCAGGAGATAATACTTTAGTAGGCCTAGGTACAGCCATGACACCATCAAGGAGTGCTCAGGTGCTTCGTTGGCAGGATCAAGAAGGGAACAAGGGAAATGTGCAACCTTATGTTAGTGCACTCCCCATCACATTATGGGGAAGAGACATTTTGGAACAAATGGGACTGACGTTAATCAATGAAGACCAGTTAGAGTTCTCCAGGACGGCGTATTATGTATAAAAAGAGGTATCAGGAGAGAGGATTAGGCTCCAGAGGAGAAGGCAGAAGGGACCTAGCCCAGCCCAAAAGTGACTTTGAAAGACAGGACATGGGTTTTTCGTGGGGGCCACTGAGATGCAGCCGCTGCCATTGTCATGGCTGGACAACAAGCCAAAGTGGATACCACAGTGGCCCCTTACCCAGGAAAAGCTGGCTGCGGTAAATGATATAGTGTTACAACAATTAGAGGCAGGCCATTTGCAACCATCAACCTCCCTATGGAATACGCCAATATTCGTGATAAAGAAAAAATCAGGGAAATACCGGTTGTTGCATGATTTACGGGCTGTTAATCAGCAGATGCAACCCATGGGGGCATTACAACCCGGACTTCCAGTTCCTTCTATGATCCCAAAGCATTGGCCATTAATAGTACTCGATCTTAAGGACTGCTTTTTTAGCATACCTTTACATGAACAAGACACTCAGAGATTTGCTTTCACCGTACCTTCCATTAATCATCAGGGTCCTGATAAAAGATATGAATGGAAAGTGCTTCCCCAAGGAATGACTAACAGTCCTGCCATATGCCAGCTGTATGTTGATCAGGCGGTGGAGCCTGTTCGACAACAGTATCCAGAAGTACAAATTTTACATTACATGGATGACCTGTTAATAATGGCTGAGAATGAAAGTCACCTTATGGAAGCATATAAGCTGCTGCTATTATATTTGGAAAAAGTTGGGTTACAAGTAGCGCCAGAGAAGATACAAAAAGGGGAAGTAGTACAGTACTTAGGACTTAAAGTAACTTCTGAAAAGGTGACTCTGTTAGAATTTGAAATTGCAATAGATGGGTTGCAGACCCTTAATGATTTCCAAAAATTATGTGGCAATTTAAATTGGTTGAGGCCCTATTGTAAATTAACCACTGAAGATATGATGCCATTATTTAATATTTTAGAGGGAGATGCCCAGCTTGATTCCCCTCGTAGATTGACAAAAGAAGCCCGCTTGACGTTACAGAAAATCGAAAAACAAATTAAAGCAATGCAGATGGAAAGATGTGATCCACAACAAGCCCTAGAAATATTAATTTTTATGGAACAGCTGTATCCCTTCACAGTCATTTGGCAAGGAGGACCCTTGCTGTTTGTATACCCACATTCACATGCACCGCTTGTACTATACACCCAAGGCATTGCAGTGGCTGGTTTGATATTAACAGCAATAAAAAAGGTGACAGAAATTGCAGGGAAGACTCCAAAGCGATGTGTAGTTCCCTTTGCTCAAGAGGCAGTAGAAGCCTTTACAAGGGAATGCTGGCAGTGGACACACATAGTTCTCATTTTACAAATAGAGATTGACAATCACTACCCTCGCCATCCATTTGTTAACTTCTGCACAGAGGTTTCAATAAAACGGGTGCAGAAGGTGCGAAGGGATCCAATTCAAGGGGCAGTTACCGTATTTACGGATGGAGCTAAAGGCGGAACAGGAGCAGCTATATTTGGCAATCAATGATATTTTGTTTTAACAGCATCCCCTTCTCCGCAACATGCAGAATTAGCCATTATCGCGGCAGTATTACGCAGACAGAGCGCACCCATGAATATTTTGTCTGATAGCGCATATGTGGTGAATGCAGTTCAGATGCTCGCTACACCGTGCCTTATTCTTAAATCCTCCTCAGTGTATTCTTATTTAAGCAAAATTCAGGGGTTATTAAATCAGAGAGAGCATGCTATTTACATAGGCCACATAAGAGCACATTCCAATTTACCCGGCCCACTTACTCGAGGTAACATGATGGCCGATCATTATTCAAGATTCTTGCTTGCATGCACCACTTTGGAACAAGCTAAAGAATATCACTCTAAATGGCATGTTAACACCCACACTTTAAGTTTTAAATTTAATATTCCCTGCAAGCAAGCAGAAGGTATTATTAGGTCCTGCGAAAAGTGTGGTGTTGCCATAGTTCCAAAGATTCCTGCGGGAGCCAATCCCCATGGCCTTAAACCAGGACATATCTGGCAGATGGACGTTACACATATTCCTTCTTTTGGGCGACAAAGCTGTGTTCATGTCACTGTAGATACATATTCAGGCATAGTTATGGCCACAGCTATGAATAAAGAAGGAGTACAACAAGTAATCCAACACTGCTTGCAGGCGTTTGCAGCCTGGGGAGTTCCTCATGTGATCAAAATGGATAATGGCCCAGCGTATACATCAGCTCATTTTGCTGCATTTTTTAAAGATTTGGAATCTCCCATATTACTGGTATTCCATATAATCCACAAGGGCAAGCTGTGGTAGAACGCACTCACTTATATTTAAAAAATTTAATAATTAAACAAAAAGGGGGAATAGGGGAAATGGCCGCATCCAATAAGGATGCTTTGGCCTTAGCTCTTTATACAATTAATTTTTTGAACAAGAAGAAGAACAGCAAAACACCTGCAGAAATGCATGCTCAATCAGCTGATAAGGAATCAATAGAGTGGGTAATGTGGGAGGATTTACAGGATAACCAATGTAAAGGCCCATTCCCCTTACTCAGAAGGGTACGAGGCACTGTTTGTTTTTCTCTGCAGGGTGCGGCACAACCAATATGGACCCCCGAGAGAAGAATTCGCTTGGTGAACCTACCAGCAGAGGAGCTAGAAGAAAATACGCCATTTGAGGAAGGAAACAATGAATAACCAATCCCTGGGATCCTTGGAATATGGGACATTTTCAATGAACCCTGAAGTACCATGATAAACAAGACAGTCAATAGCATGAAGATCACGCCAAATTTTATACAGGCTGCGAACGTGTAATGTTGAAGCTGCTTCAACGACAACGGCAGTCAGAGGTTGTCATCAAACAGGTGATGAGCATGTTGAACCGATAGTCAAAAGACAGGTAAGCACCTGCGGGCAACTCCGGCAGCCTAAAACAGAGGGCAGGACATGCTTCCTGCATCCTTGATGGCGGGTGAGCAGAGTGTTTGCCGCTGGGCGCACTGGACAGGCACGTATCCACGCCACAAAAAATAAAAAGAAGAGGGATCTGTGGGAGGCAGAATCCGTCTCCTGCGGGAGGCGAAGCCCGCCTGCCACTATATGGCGCTGATAAGGAGTAACCAGCTTTTACACAGCTGATTCATCTTGACTACTAGAAGCTGCAGGAGCCGATTCATCCTCTGATTGGAAGAGAACGGCATGCTGGACACGTGGACAGGCGGAGCATGGATTGGTGGAGAGGACTATAAAGGAGAAGAGAGACAGCACGGTGGTGTGGGTTGGTTGGAGAGTGCGTTGGAGAGTTCATGGGGAAGTTCGTTGCTTTGTTCTTTCTCCTTTCTACTCATTCTTGCTTTGGGAGTTCGCTGTTTGCTCATTCTTACTTTACTATAGAAAAGACTTGTAAAAAAGGGAACAACAAGCGTCCGGTCCAGTGGGGCTCCTCCGTGTGTGGAGGAGCAGCAATGCTGAATGTTCACTATAGCGTTATTGTACTAGAGTTTTCATTTTTTATGTAGCTATGCCAGTTGATCTTTCCATTTGTGAGTTCTTGCTCTGGTATTTTATTTGAAAAGATATTTGCCATGTTTCATAAAATTATATTTCTGTATTTTCTGTTTCCTAAATATTGTTTTGTTTGTACTGGTAGCCCTAGTAATATGTCTGTAATTGATTTCTCTTTTTGGTGTGAGGGGGGAAAGGAGTGACATATAGCACCTGCTTTAAAGGATGGGACTTAAAATGCACAGCACCCATTCTGGAGGAAAACATGGCATTTATCAGGAGCTTTAAAAATACAGTTTCCCTTTGATCTAAGCCTTCCACTTCTAAGGATTTATGTTAGAAATTCAGTTGTGGTTGTACACATGTAGACTTGGTTGCAAGGATACTTCTAGCAGCATTGTTTCCAATATCTAAAACTAGCAATACCCTAAATTTCCAGTAGTATGAGCTTATTGAAATAAATTGTGGTATATTGGATTAGTACAATACTATCATGTAGAATAACGTCATGATGTAAGAAATTGTTTTTATTTGAGATGGTAGAGGAAACAGGTTAAACAAGATGGGGAGAACTATACTAGATTTTTAAAATTATTACATCTGAGAGTAAGCTTGTGGGTATGCTTATTTTCTTCTTTGTACTTTTTTCTCTAATACTTTTTCCAATACTTATCTGTGAATATGTATTTTTATTATATAAAAGTAATTAAAATGATAAATTATATTTAAAATAACTTAAGTCCAGAAAATATTTTCTTTTTTTAAAGATTTATTTATTTATTTGAAAGTCAGAGTTACATAGAGAGAAGGAGAGGGAGAGAGAGAGAGGTCTTCCATCTGCTGGTTCACTCCCCAACTGGCCACAATGGCCCAAGCTGTGCTGATCCAAAGCCAGGAGCCAGGAGCCAGGAGCTTCTTCCGGGTCTCCCACGTGGGTGCAGAGGCCCAAGGACTTGAGCCATTCTCTACTGCTTTCCCAGGCCATAGCAGAGAGCTGGATTGGAAGTGGAGCAGCCGGGTCTCAAACCGGTACCCACATGGGATGCTGGCACTGCAGGTGGTGGCTCTACCCACTAAGTCACAGCACCAGCTATGAAAATATTTTATCTTAACACAATAAAGCCCTTATTTATTTTAAATAATTTTTTAAAGATTTATTTTATTTATTTGAAAGAGAGGGGGAGAGAGAGACACAGAGAGAGAGAGGTCTTCCTTCCATCTGCTGGTTCACTCCCCAAATGGCTGAAATGGCCAGAGCTGAGAGTCGATCCAAAGACAGAAGCCAGGAGATTCCTCCAGGTTTCCCATGTGAATGCAGTGGCCAAAGGACCTGGGCCATCCTCTGCTGTTTTCCCAGGTGCATTAGAAGGGAGCTGTACTGGAAGTGGAGTAGCTGGGACTCAAACCAGTGCCCATATAGGATGCTGGCTCTGCAGGCCAGGGCTTTAACCAGCTATGCCACAGCACTGGCCCCTAAAGCCCTTATTTTACCAAATAAAGCCCTGGTTTACTGAAAGACTCTAAACAAGCTTATTAATATTTTGCCTCTTTTTTTGTAGTTCAAATGATTATTTTTTTAGAATATTATTTATTTATTTATTTATTTATTTAAGAGGTAGAGTTACAGACAGTGAGAGGGAGAGACAGAGAGAAAGGTCTTCCTTCCATTGGTTCACTCTCCAAATGGCCGCAATGACTGGAGCTGCACTGATCCAAAGCCAGGAGCCAGGTGCTTCTTCCTGGTTTCCCACATGGGTGCAGGGGCCCAAGCACCTAGACCATCTTCTACCGCTTTCCCAGGCCATAGCAGAGTGTGGGAGCAACTTGGACTAGACTGTTACTCGAATTAAGACTTATTCTATGCATCTGCTCTCCCACGATATGGCTCTGGGGAGGAGTAAGCTTCTGCACAGCTGCCTCCAGTTCAACCAATAAACTGTAGGACCTGCTCCTGATTGAAGGAAAGCAGCGTACTCGGCATGTGGGTAGCAGAGTTGGGATTGGTGGAAGAGGACTATAAAGGAGGAGAGAGACAACATGCACCAGGAACATCTATCTGAAGGAACACCTGAGCAGCCCCCGAGAGAGCCGGCCGGTGGTGTGCCGCTCCCCTGCGGAAGTGGGGAAAGTGGCAGGGGGAACTGCCCTTCCACGGAGGTGGAAGGGTCGGTAGCCAACCCGGGAAGAACCAGCAGCAGACCCGGGGAGGGCCGAGCAGATGAAAGAACAGCGCAGGGTCCTGTGTCGTTCCTCCACGAAGACGGGGAGCGACAGCAGAGAGCTGGACTGGAAGAGGAGCAGCCGGGAATAGAACTGGCGCCCATATGGGATGCTGGCACCACAGGTGGAGGATGAACCTACTGTGCCACAGCACCGGCCCCTCAGATGATTATTAAAACAAGTGTGTATTTAATGCTGAAAACTGATTACTTAATGCTTCCGTGATACAGTTTCTCCCCAGTGGAAATAATATCTTGAATGACCTTTCTGTTCAATCAGGGGTTAGATGTTTATTTTGAACATCTTCATAATTTCTCTTTCCATTTGCAGCATGTGAGGTTTAGAGTTGATATGTCACACATAGGAATGTATATGGAAAGCTTTATCTTGGATTTGGTACTTGTGAACCATATGTTTTTAATATTCTTTTTTTAAAAAAGATTTATTTATTTATTTGAAAGAATTAAGGAGAAAGAGAGAGAGAGAGAGAGAGAGAGAGAGAGAGAGAGAGAGGTCTTCCATCTGCTGGTTCACTCCCCAATTGGCCACACAGCCAGAGATGTGCCGATTCAAAGCCAGGAGCCAGGAGCTTGGAAGTAGAGCAACTGGGACTCAAATTGGTTCCCATATGGGATGCTGGTACTGCAGATGGCAGCTTTACCCACTACGCCATAGCGCCGGCCCCGAGTTAATATTCTAATTCTGGGTTGGACACCACTCAAGAAACTTGCAATGTTGGATATTATGATGTTGCTAAGATCCTGGAGCAGATGTTGGGAACACACAGAGATTAGATTATGACACTCCACTCCATCCTGCTAGTAGCGGGCACAGAGATGTAAGCACGATAGGAAAAAAATTAGCGATACACATTATCATAATACAAATTCAAGGGATGGGCATTTTTTGGCCTCCCAGTTAAGATGCTGGTTAAGATAACCACATCTCGGGGGCCAGCGCTGTGGCACAGTAGGTTAATCCTCTGCCTGTGGTGCCAGCATCCCATATGGGCACTGGTTCTAGTCCCGGCTGCTCCTCTTCCAATCCAGCTTTCTGCTGTGGCCTGGGAAGGCAGTGGAGGGTGGCCCAAGTCCTTGGGCCCCTGCACCCGCATGGGAGACCAGGAAGAAGCACCAGGCTCCTGGCTTTGGATTGGCACAGCTCTCGCTGTTGCAGCCATTTGGGGAGTGAACCAATGGAAGGAAGACCCTTCTGTCTCTCCCTCTCACTGTCTGTAACTCTACCTCTCAAATAAATAAATACATAAAAATCTTTAAAAAAAAAAAAGATACCCACATCTCATACTGTAACACCTGTGTTCGAGTGCCAGGTCTGCTTCCAATTCCAGCTTCTACTGATCTGCTTCCTGAAGACAGCAGAGAATGACTCAGTTGCTTGGGTCTCTGTCAACCATGAGGGCGCCCTAGATTGAGTTCCTGGCTCCTGGCTTCAGCCTGGCGACACCCTAGCCCTTGCTGGCTTTGGGTTGTAAACTAACAGATGGAGGCTTATTTGCTTGCTTTCTCTCTCTGCTTCTCAATGAAAAAATATTTCATGTTTGTATATTCAAACAATTGTTTAGTTGATTGTATGTGTTGTCATCTTTCGCTCATTGCTTAATAAGCTCATCTGTAGTTTGTTTTCCCTTTTTTCACTTTCCAACTGCTACTTCACAGTCAGATTTGGCATTATTTTTTCATAAAATGTTGTTTGATAATTGACTAAATCTTGGCAAAATTTTTATTTCAAGACATTCTATCAATAACTAGATGTAGAGTTAAATCAGATTTTACTTACAATAAACATTTCACAGTTTTGCGCTGCCTATCTTTTTATTTTTTAAGATTTATTTATTTGAAAGACTTACAGAAAGAGAGGGAGAGACAGAACTTTCATCTGCTGGTTGATTTCCCAGATGGCCACAATGGCCAGGGTTGGGCCAGGCCGAAGCCAGGAGCCAGGAGCTTCTTCCAGGTCTCCCACTTGGGTAGCAGGGCCCAAGTAATTGGGCCATCTTTTGGTGCTTTTCCTAGCACTGCCAATCTTTTAAAAGATGTTTTATTTTAGTTGACAAAAATGAAATTTACAGTGAATGTAGATATGGGTTTAGTTCTGGCCTGACCAGTTTACTAGCTGTATGATTTTGACCAAATTATTTTTCTCTTCTGAATGTCTATTTCCTCATCTTTAGATCATGCCATAAATAATACATATCTGAAGGGCATATTTTGAAGGAAAAGATGCTGTGCATAGAAACATATCTTGAAATCTAAGCTATTACAGAAGTGTCAGGTCGGCTGGCGCCGCGGCTCACTAGGCTAATCCTCTGCCTTGCGGCACCGGCACACCGGGTTCTAGTCCCAGTCGGGGCACCAGATTCTGTTCCGGTTGCCCCTCTTCCAGGCCAGCTCTCTGCTATGGCCCGGGAGTGCAGTGGAGAATGGCCCAAGTGCTTGGGAGACCAGGATAAGCACCTGGCTCCTGGCTTCAGATCAGGCATGCGCCGGCCGCGGCGGCCATTGGAGGTTGAACCAATGGCAAAGGAAGACCTTTCTCTCTCTCTCACTGTCCACTCTGCCTGTCAAAAAAAAAAAAAAAAAGTCAGGTAAAAGATTACAAAGTGTTTTTATGTTAATATTTTTTTAATATACCCAACTATTTTAGAAACAAAAATTTACAAATTGTGATATTTTTATTTACATGCTTTTTTAAAAAATATTTTATTTGTTACTTGAAAATCAGAGTTACAGAGAGGCAGAGGCAGAGAGAGAGAGAGTTAGAGAGAGAGGTCTTCTATCCGTGGTTCACTCTCCAGATGGCCACAATTGCCAGAGCCGTGTCAATCTGAAGCCAAGAGCTTCCTCTGGGTCTCCCATGTGGGTGCAGAGGAAAAATTACTATAGAAGAAGACATTGTTACATGATTTAATAAGGAATATGCACAGTAACTAGTGTCCTATCAGTGTAATTCATGAAGTTGACAGCCATATAGGGCAACTTAAGATAATGTCCTTATGTCTTATTTCTTAAGAAATACTGAAGTATATATGGGTATAGGGACATGATGTATATAATATACTCTTGTATACTAATGAAAAATATGTATACAAACACATACATTTGTTGAATATAGATTGTAAAGCAAGGGAGTAAAATATTAATCATAGACAAATCTGGGTAAAAAGGGTGTGTATTGTTCAGTGTTTGAATTTTCTTGTGAGTTTAAAAATGCCAATTTTTATAATATATACAAATATATACAATTTCTTTGCTCTATAATTGAACTAAAAGCAATGAGGAGAGTAGTATAATCATGTCTGATTCTCAGATTATGATCTTAAAATGTTTCTACTAAAGGAAAATGAAGGCTTCTTAGAAAAAGATGGTCCTAGGTCTAGAGCAGGGAATATGTACAATGAGCTTGCAGCATCTTTTCATTACAAATGTCATGAAAGGTAACAAAGATAAGATCTTGTGAGAGGGGCCTTAGGAGACAACTTGGAGCACTTTTCCACTGCCCCGGCGTGGAACAATGTGAGCTTTAATAAGGACATTGCAAAGTTCTGGAACCCATCAAATATGTTTAAATCCATGAGTTCATAATGATGATTTAAAAAATTCGTTTGTTATCAGGATGAGAGAGAGTCAGTTTACTTGAAAATTTAGGCAAATAACTGGAAAATTTTTTTCTTGACTTTCTGTATGAACTCTATTACTGGGTGACCTTGTTGAAGGTAGGGAAAGTGTGACCGGGAGTAAGCTCCTGGCTCCTGGCTTTGGTTCGGCTCAGCTCCAGCCGTTGTGACCATTTAGGGAGTGAACCAGCGGCTGGAAGACCTCTTTCTCGCTGCTTTTGCGTCCCTTTAACTCTGCCTTTCAAATGAACAAATTAAAAACAAAGCTTTAAAAAAACAGTGCTTTAAAGATTTATAAAAAAGTTAAAATATGGCATTTTGCAAACCCCCACTAGTCTATCTGTAGCATTGAACACGGACAGTTACTAATATTAAATAAAAGAATGCATCACATGCCCCATGATGAAAGAATATACTCTACTGCTACTGTGGCTTTGTCAAAGAGATCACACCTTTCTGTCTTCATCCGCAGGATCCAGCTGCCAATGTACAAGAAATGTCAAGGTCAGAAGCGCATGTTAAGTGCACCAAGAGAGTGTGGTCAGCCAAATCCAGAGTGAGAAAACCAGTGTTGGTTCTTCAAGAGATAAACTATATGGAAAAGACAAAGGAAACTCTTCAGAAAAAAATAAAAGTTACTGAACAGGAGTATCAAACTTTTAAAAAATAGGCAAGACTAAAAAAGTCAGCGTGTATTTAATAAGTGAGAGTTTTACACAAGACTCCATTAAAGTAAATGGCACATGTAAGATTCAGGATATTATAAATTTGTTTTTTAAAATGCATCTGTTAACGAGAGCCAGCTCCCATCCATGCCCTGGTTCAGTGCCCATGATGACTAGAGCTAGGAACTCCATGTAGGTCTCCCATGTGAATGGCAGAAACTCAGTTGTTGCAGCCATCGCCTGCTGCCTCCTAGGGTCTGCACTGATAGGTAGCTGGAGTCAGGAGCTGGAGCCAGACATAAAACCCAGACACTTGGATATGGTGATATGGTACTTGGACATCATAGCCAGTAGACCAGGCATCCACCCCTTGTTATTGTTTTTAGAACTAACAGATTCTTCACCAAATGACCACAACAGCCAGGATCACTCTAGACAAGCCAGGAGCCCAGAGCCCCATCCAGGTCTCCCACATGGGCCATCTCCAGTGTTTTCCCAGCCCCATTAGCAAGGAGCTGCATCAGAAGTAGAACAACCAGGATTCGAACTGACACTTGTCATATGGGACGCTGGCATTGCAGGAGGCAGCTTAGTTAACTGAGACTATGAGTAACCAAGACTGCGAATTTCAGAACTTAAGAGATTAGGGATAAATAAAAGGATGGCATCTGTGTAGCAGCCCATCTATGGTTTATCCCACTGGGCCCTGTGCTTCATGCCAGTGATACTCAGCGCAGTTGTTCTACAAACTGTGTATTCCCACTGCTCAAAATAAGCAGCTTGTGCTGGAATGTAAATCAGTGGGTTGCTTCCTTCATCAAAAAAGGAGAAAATGCTATTGAAAAAAAACAGTCAGCTGAAGTACACAGTGTGCTTAGTGATACAGTGGTTTCCATTTTGTTGCAAACTTCTTATTTCATTCCAGATCAGTAACAAAATTTACAGACTGGCCTCACTTCATGGACCATACTTTGAGTAACAGTTTTGTGTCATACATGTCAGACTTACAGTATTGTTACAGGGATACATATCCTGGATAATACAGCTTATTTGTGTATGAATATGTGGCACTTGTACATTTGCATAATCCTTAAGTCATTTTTTCCCCTACCTTCTACCTTTTCTCTTTTCTCATGGTCTTCTTCCATTCTTTCTATACAGGAATTCTAATAAATTTGTTTCAAATAATTGCTCCTTGCTACTATGCTGTAAACTCAGTCATAGTCAGAGAGTCAGATCGTGCTTATACACCACAGTTATAGTAATGGAGAAGAGGGTAACTGTCACACAGCCCACCCTCTCAAACTTTTTAACACTCATAAATTACCAAAGTATAGATTTTATTGACAACTTTGTCAGACCTTGGTTTCATTACAGAGACTGCCCAATGGACAAAATTTAAAATACCACTTATTGTTGAAAAAGCCACTCACCTTTTTCTTACTTTACTTTGCCAGTAATCTGGCCTTGTTTATTAGGCAGCTGGTCTAAATTTTTCCCCCAGGAAATGTTCCATCATAATAAATAGACAATTGGGGGCCGGTTCTGGGGCACAGCTTGTTACTCCTCTGCCTGCAGCGCCGGTTCAAGTCCTGGCTGCTCCTCTTCCGATCCAGCTCTCTGCTGGGGCCTGGGAAAGCAGTGGAAGATGGCCCAAGTCCTTGGGCCCCTGCACCCACGTGGGAGACCTGGAGGAAACTCTTGGCTTCTGGCTTCAGATCGGCCAGCTCCGGCCGTTGCAGCCATTTGGGGCAGTGGGCCAGTGAATGGAAGACCTTCCTCTCTGTCTCCCTCTCTCGCTGTCTGTAACTCTGCCTCTCAAATAAATAAATAAAATCTTTTAAAAAATAATAATAAACAGACAAGCTACTATTGGAGTCAACTCGTAAGACAGATATGAAGAGTTCTGAAGAGAGAGTGATACATTGTTACTGGTGTTTACCAGTGCATTTCTGTGTCTTACAATGCACAAAATGACCAGTGTTACAAGCCTCATTTTCCCAGTGTTAAAATAGTAAATTGTACTCTTACAAGTATGTTGTCATAATTTGTGAAATTCACTTATTCAGTTTTTTTATATTTCAGGAACTGTGAAATAAGATACCTCTCTCTTTCTCTGTCATTGCAACTTTTTTTTTTTTTTTTTTGACAGCCAGAGTTAGACAGTGAGAGAGACAGAGAGAAAGGCCTTCCTTTCCGTTGGTTCACCCCCCAAATGGCTGCTATGGCTGGCATGCTGCGCCAATCCGAAGCCAGGAGCCAAGTGCTTCCTCCTGGTCTCCCACGTGGGTGCAGGGCCCACCTGCACCTGGGCCATCCTCCACTGCCTCCCAGGCCACAGTAGAGAGCTGGACTGGAAGAGGAGCAACCAGGACTAGAACCTGGGGTACCGGCGCCGCAGGTGGAGGATTAGCCTAGTGAGCTGCGGTGCCGGCCCATTGTGGCTTTTATGTAAATAAGTAAAGAGGCACTCTCATCCTAGGAGACTTGGATGTCTCCTGACTCCTGGCTCCTGGCTTCAGCCTGGCCCAGTTTCGTCTATTGTGGCCATTTGTGAAGTGAACCAGCAGATGGAGTCTCTCTCTCTCTCTTTCTAATCCTGCCTTTCAAATAAATAAATGAAATCTTTTGAAGAAAAAGTAAAGAAAGAAAACTAAAACTGCAATCAGCACAGTACTTCATGTGCCTTTCTGAAAATCCATCTTTGATTCAGAGCAGTAGGAGTATTACTAAAAATGGGACATATACTGTAAAAATATCATATAATGGCACACAGATTTAAAGTGGCTTGTTGTGTTTTATGATATTCAACTACTTTTAATGTTCTCTTTCAGTCTGATGACAGTAAAACTTCTGTAAGGAATCGCTTTAATGCAAGACAGTTCATGTCTTGGTTACAAGATGTGGATGATAAATTTGACAAATTAAAGGTATGTATGTTTAGCAATCAGTTTAAATGAGTGGCTCCCCCTTCTTAACACAAACTGCAGTCATTAGGAAGGAAACAGTGGCTAGTCCTGAAATCTCTACTGGCTACAGCTGGAAAGATAAAGGGAAGTAGAGACCCCAAGTCCATTTTAAGAACTAATACTATATAAAGGAGGGGCTACCAGTGTAGGTCTCTGTGTGCACTATCAAGTATACCTGTGCACCGTATTTTGCAAATCTGTAAGGAAAATTGAGATTGTGAGTTACTTCAAAAGCCATTTGTCTCTGGATTTTCATGATTCCTTTGATAATTTGAAATCTTCTAAATTGAAGGAGTATTTTCTCAAAATTAAAGTCTAAAAGGAACATGAAGTTACAGACCCAAAAGTAGTTAGCATGTTGCTACGAACAGGGTAAAGCAGAAATGGACTTACAATTTGAAGTCAACTTTTCAGCAAAGCAAACTTATCAAACTAATCGATTAATTCTTCTCCTTTTAAATAGACCTGTCTTTTAATGAGGCAACAACACGAAGCTGCAGCTTTAAATGCTGTCCAGAGATTGGAATGGCAGCTCAAACTCCAGGAGCTTGATCCTGCCACCTATAAATCTATCAGCATCTACGAAATCCAGGAGTTCTATGTTCCCCTCGTTGATGTTAATGATGACTTTGAATTGACTCCAATATAGCGGTGGTTGTTTCCTGCTGGCGTTGTCCTGACCGGATGTGCTCCAAGTGCTACACTGTGGAATACTGCCTTTTGACGCAAATACTGGTGTTACGCCTTTGAATTGGTTCAGTTGAAGTTGGTTGTGTAGTCAACCCACTGTCACTTGATGAGAAATAAGGCTTATTTTGGATCTGAGGTCCAAACACAGTTTCTAGCGGGAAACTGTTCCTTATGTTGGTGAAAGGTAACAGTTGCATTAGAGCATGTTGGCAGACTGTGGCAGGCATTGAAAATGCGAAGAATCTGCTAACAGCGCTGGAAGTTGTTAGCTCTCTCATGTGAAGAGATGACCACTGGTGTTCAGCTCTCTTTCAGGTTTTATTGAGAAGATATCCGTAAACTACAAGGCTTAATTTCTACCAAATAGTTTCTAATGTGGAAGAAAAACTTGGCACAAAATTTCTTGAGTTTAATACATCTGTAAATTAATTGTACATTTTCTTTTTGAAAGTTTTACTATTGTCTTCCTTTTTAATAACTTATTTTATACATATTGTGCAGATGTAAATCTTGTAATTAAAGGTCACAGTGTATCCAAAGGGATTGGTAGTGAGAGCGTGTACAGAGAAATAACTGTAAACTGTGTCGTCCCCTGTTTTATTGGACCAAAGTCGTGGTTTGTGTGGAGCGCAGTAGTAGTGTGTTCAGGTAGCAGAGCTTCAGAAAGCATGCATGTGTTTGAGTTAGCTTGTTTTCCTCACCATAGCTGTAAGAGTCGTGACTTGGTTGTACCGCATGCTTCGGTAATTTAACTCTCTCCATAACTGATGCCTGGAGCAGTGTAAGGCGTTTCATGCTCGTCTCCTGTGGTAGAGCTTGTGACTTACTGTGTTGGACCTATTATTTAGAATTAGTCAGACAGAGAAACTTAGCTCTTTTCTCATCTCACAGTAGAGCCTGTTTTCCCCCAGGGGAAAAAAATGCCTTTGAATGAAAATTCTAAAATTGTAAATGTCTATTTTAATACTCAGCAATGAATGAATCTGTGAATATATGTAAATATGTTTAATAAATTTTATTGGTCATGTTATATCATTGTAAAACTTTTTTACATTGCTTAAATTTAAAGTTTTAAGCTTAATAACCTTTGCACTTTTAAAATAAAAACTGAGTACTAGGATCAAAAAAGTTATTTGATGTCAAAATAAGTAAAAGAAATTAGGAATATTCCAATTGATCTCTGAAATGTTTATGGAAAGTTAATTAACATGTATTTTTCCTTGTATCAAGATGCAAAACATATAATTTGCAAAATTTTATACTTGCAATAAGACTTGGTATGCTATTTTATAATAAAATAATTAGCAATATACTTAGAAAAAGTCCGGTTTCTCCTGTAACATGATATAGATGAAATATTCAGGACTATTTCAGATCTGGCACCTGCTGCAGGACTTGTTCAGCATTTTTGAACGGAAAATGAAGTTAATGTAAAATTCATCATAAGTATATGAGATAAAATTTAAGAAACTTTCCACAAACCTTTCTTGAATTCTGCTTTTATTCTGATAGAGAAAAGTGAAGAGAAGATATAAGGGGTGACGTGACTGAAATTCACTAGCAAATTGGCTGTCCCAGATCATGGGAGAGAATCTTGAAGTTTTTGAGTGCAAAGGTACATATTAAGCTTAGGGATATTGAAATTTTTACATTAATTTATATTTTAATTCTTTTTATTTTAATTCTTACTGTACTTGGCATGCGCAATAAAGCAGCACGTGTAAAAACTACACAGTGCAAGGACTTTATCATAAAGGTTGCTGTAGTTTCCTTTAGAGTTTAGGTGAGAGATTTTTGGCCCTTTTTGTTGGATAAATGGGCCAGAAAGGCAGAGTAGATTTTGAAGCACTGGTTTTGTTGAAGTTGAGTTTTAATTAAAACTGGGAACGTGGAAAGCTAATTTATAAAAGCAATACTTTTTTTTAACTTTTATTTAATGAATACAAATTTCCAAAGTACGGCTTATGGATTACAATGGCTTCCCCCCCATAACATGCCTCCCACCCGCAACCCTCCCCTTTCCCACTCCCTCTCCCCTTCCAATCACATCAAGATTCATTTTCGATTCTCTTTATATACAGAAGATCAGTTTAGCATACAGTAAGTAAAGATTTCAACAGTTTGCTCCCACACAGAAACATAAAGTGAAAAATAATATATGATTTTTTAAATGATGATGAAATCAGATCAGAGCTATTGTCATGTTTAATCCCAGTGAGAGTCAAGTTGGGAATTGATAATTTCTTCTTCTTCTTCTTCTTCTTCTTCTTCTTCTTCTTCTTCTTCTTCTTCTTCTTCTTTTTTTTACAGAAGATCAGTTTAGTATACATTAAGTAAAGATTTCAACAGTTTGCACCCCCATAGAAACACAAAGTGAAATATACTGTTTGAGTACTCGTTATAGCATTAAGTCTCAATGTACAGCACATTAAGGACGGAGATCCTACATGAGGAGTAAGTGCACAGTGACTCCTGTTGTTGACTTTACAAATTGACACTCTTGTTTATGGCATAAGTAATCTCCCTATGCTCCAGTCATGAGTTTTCAAGGCTATGGAAGCCCCTTGCGTTCTCTGACTCTTATGTTGTTTAGACAAGGTCATAGTCAAAGTGGAGGTTCTCTCCTCCCTTCAGAGAAAGGTACCTCCTTCTTTGAAGACCTGTTCTTTCCACTGGGATCTCACAGAGATCTTTCATTTAGGGTTTGTTTTTTGTTTTTTGTTTTTTGTTTTTTTTTTTTTTTTTTGCCAGAGTGTCTTGGCTTTCCATGCCTGAAATACTCTCATGGGCTTTTCAGCCAGATTGGAATGCCTTTAGGGCTGATTCTGAGGCCAGAGTGCTGTTTAGGACATCCGCCATTCTATGAGTCTGCTGAGTATCTCGTAAAAGCAATACTTTTAATGCAAAAAAATGTAATGCAAACTTTGTTTCTACTTTTGCCTCAAAAGGAAATTTGATGGGATAGTGTGGCAAATCGTAAAAGTCAAAAACCAGATTATTGAGCCTTGAAGTTGTAGAAAATAAGAGGGGTAAGTTTCCCGAGCCTTCCTTCTGCTGGTCCACTCAGGAGAGGGGAGGGGCGGGGCGGGGCGGGGCTGTCACTGTCACTGTTTGGCCGAACAAAACAGGCTCCCCCAGAGACAAGGGAGCAGGCGAGAATCTGGTGAGCTTTAGCTGCGCCAGCTTTGCCGTCTTACCCAGGTCTCGCTCTTGAGTGGTGCCTCAGAAAGCTGGAGCCTCCTGCCTGGGCCCACCCATCTCCTTGGTCAGGTAACTCGGAGCTAAAGGGGACAGCTTCAAGTTACTGCCTTCTCATTGGACATGTCTAATCACCGAAGTTGCTGAGGGCTTCTGACATGGAAGATAATCTAAAACCCTGAAATGCTAGGGAAAACGTGGAATGGGCCGTATACCTAAAAAGGTTATAGGTTCTGAAAGAAAAACAAAAGTGGTTAGTTTAATCAGTGATTCTTTTTAAACTATTCAAATATCATGAACAAGATACTAAATTGTACCTAAGGATTTGTATTTCTTTGAATCTTGTTCTAAATCATATCTGTTTAATAAATGACTAGTTGATATTTGTGCATGTTATTTAATAAAGAGTTATATTTTTATAGAAAAAATAAGAGTGAAATGTGTGCTAAATTTTTTTACTTGATTTCTCTCCCGTATGACTAAGCCAAACACCAGTGTTTAGTTGGGCAGCTAGCAAAACTGCAGAAACATTCATCCTGAGAGAACGAACAGCCTTTCAAGTTCAAATCTTGATTAATGACGCCTCAGCTAAGATTTGAATCAAGTATTAGATATACCGCAAACTTCATGACTGCAGAAATATCAGGCAAAGACAACCTAATGGGACTTAGAATTGTAGTTATCTAGATACTAATTGCAGAGACAAATGTGTGATTTTCTTTCCCAAAAAGTTAGGAATATTTGTATATCCTATCTCTAATATGCTAACACATAAAGACTCAAAATTTTAAATAGAAGAAATTAACTCTAAAATACACGAGTCAGTCTTTATATTTAAAGAAGGGCATTTTCATCACTTTTTTAAAAGATCATTTTCAAACATTTAACGTGAAAAGATAATTATAAGAGACATTAATATCTTGGGAAAGCTGAAGTTTAATGGTTAAAATATATGGTAACTCATCATTTTCTTAGTGGCTTCTTGGAGGACCTTTTTGTAACCTGAAAACGAGTTTTATTTAACAGTGAAAAGCAACTGGAGTTTCCTGCTTATATCTTTGCTTTGTCTGTGTCTCTTTCTCTCTCTCTCACTATATATATATATAATGCTTGTGTCTTCTAATTTCCTTTTAAAATTTATTTATTTATTTTGAAGTCAGAGAGAGGGAGAGAGATCCATCTTCCATCTGCTCGTTCACTCCCCAAATGGCCACAATGGCCAGGAGCCAGGAGCTTCTTCCGGATGTCCCACCTGGGTGCAGGGGCCTGAGGGCTTGGGCCATTTTCCACTGCTTTCCCAGGTGCATTTGCAGGGAGCTGGATCAGAAGTGGAGCAGCTGGGACTTGAACCAGCATCCATATGGATTGCCAGCATGGCAGGCTGGGCTTTACCTGCTCTGCCACAGCACCGGCCCCCTTTAATTTTCTACTCAGAAATTTTTATGTGGGCCCATTACTCTCAAATAGCATCCTAGCATCTGTTTTCAAAAATGATTTTTCATTTGGCAAAGGATCATTATTATACAACACAGGTGAGAGTTATCAAAATTTGCTACAGTGAATACACTGAGGGGTGTTCTAGGGGAAGGTAATATTTTAAAATTCTATTTCCCCTCCAATTTGGTAAAACTTTCTTTATGTTCCTAAAGGTCATCAATGAGAACATAAACTAGATAGAACAGTCATTAAATGCAAGAAAAATATTCCTGACATGCACAACAGTGGATTGCCACTTGGAATCTATAGAATCCCTACAAATAAATATCAAATGGTAAATGCTTCTGTAGAAAAAAATATTCAAATGACAAGACCATGAGAACAACACAAAATGACAGGTGACATTTTTTCTGTCATGAGCTTGTTTGTAATATTTTCCTTCCCTCATTTATATTTTCATCTAGCTTCTGGAGTTGAAGGCTCAATTTATTGGTCTTGCAGTTTGGATATAAGTTTGAGCAATCCCCAAAGGCCCATGGGGCAGAGGCTTGGTGCACAGAGTCTCATGCTGATGGCTAACAGACTAATGTTAATGGATAATGAACTGTTGGGAGACATTTAACCAGTGGTGGTATCTGATGGTGGGGCCTTCGGGAAATGATTGGATTGGATTAGATTGCTGGTGCAGAGTGCTCCTGGTGGCTTTATAAAGACAGACGTGGGGCCGGAGCTGTGGCATAGCAGGTGAAGCCGTCGCCTGCAGACCCAGCATCCCACATGGGTGCCATTTTGAGTCCCGGCTGCTCCACTTCCAATCCAGCTCTCTGTTGTAGCCTAGGAAAGCAGTGGAAGATGGCCCAAGTCCTTGGGCCCCTGTGTGGGAGACAGGGAGGAGACCCCTGGCTCCTGGTTTCGGATCAGCACAGCTCTGGCTGGTATGGCCAATTGGAGAGTGAACCAGCGGATGGAACACCTTTCTCTCTGTCTCTCCTTCTTTCTATCTGTAACTCTGACTTTCAAATAAATAAATCTTAAAAAAGAGGACAGATGCAGTGACATGGGGGATGGGCAGTCTCCCTGGCTCTGCTTCCTGCTTACCTTGTGATTTCTCTGTGCGTGCGCCTTTCACCATCCACCCGTCTCATCTAAGGTCAGACCAATAGCACTGCCCCTTCCTACACTGGGAACCTTCCAACCCAAGAGCCAAAATAAACCTTCCCTAATAGGTAGCATCTCTCAAGTATTTTAGCTGTACTAATGGAACACTGACTGATATAGAGGTGACATCTAAAATTGGTGGGAAGGATTACATTTTAGCAATGATTTCAAATTGAAGATAACAGGGAGGGTGCAGGTGTAACTTTCTGCATGAGAGTAAAAACTTGGTATCTCATTCATGGTACTGTCCCCAGCGCCTAGGAACAGAATACACACACATGCACACATACACAAACACGCACACGCAAACAGCAGGCTCAGGCACACATGCACACACATATACACACATATGTATATACTCACATGCACATGTGCAAGTACGCACATGCACGCAGGCTGGCTCAGGCACAGGCACACATGCACACAGCCACATGAACACACACACACATGCACGCATGCACACACACAGGTGCTTATCCATGAGCTGAGATACTCTTCTTCTTTTTTTTTTTTTTTTTTTGACAGGCAGAGTGGATACTGAGAGAGAGAGACAGAGAGAAAGGTCTTCCTTTTGCCGTTGGTTCACCCTCCAATGGCCGCCGCGGCCGGCGCGCTGCGGCCGGCGCACTGCGCTGATCCCAAGGCAGGGCCAGGTGCTTCTCCTGGTCTCCCATGGGGTGCAGGGCCCAAGCACCTGGGCCATCCTCCACTGCACTCCCTGGTCACAGCAGAGAGCTGGCCTGGAAGAGGGGCAACCGGGACAGAATCCGGCGCCCCGACCGGGACTAGAACCCGGTGTGCCGGCGCCGCAAGGCGGAGGATTAGCCTAGTGAGCCGCGGCGCCAGCCGGATACTCTTCTGAGGCTGCTTGACTAGCAGTCAGGGACAGGGCAGATGAGAAAACTCACAGACTGGATTTTTTTTCTTCATGGGATGTTGAGAAATAATTGAGAAACCTGTTCAAATTATTGGATTTAATAAGTTTTCAATCTTTAAAATTTTAATAAAAGATTTATTTATTTTGAAAGAGTTACAGAGAGAGAGGGAGAGACAGAGAGAAAGGGATTTCTTCCGTCCACTGGTTCACTCTCCAGATGGCTGCAATGGCCAGTGCTGGGTCAGGCTGAAGCCAGGAGCCGGGAACTTCTGGGTCTCCCACATGGGTGCGAGGGTCCAAGCACTTGGGCCACCCTCTGCTGCTTCTCCAGGTGCATTAGCAGGAAGCTGGATTGGAGGTGGAGTAGCTGGGAGTCGAACTGGCACCCATGTAGGATGCTGGCAGGTGGCAGTTTAACCCGCTATGCCGCGGCGTGGACCCCTAAGTTTTCACTCTAATACGGGTAATTTTCCTTTGTACTCAGCTGAGGGCTGGCTGTGCAGAGAAGTCGGTTTAGTTCATTGGCAAGGGAGATGCTCTCCCTGCACGTGTGAGTTGCTGTGTGAAAGATCCAGCAGGCCACCGACTTCCCCTGGAGTTTCTCCGGCAGACGGGAAGCGGCCATCCCCAGGATTCAGCACTAATGACCGAGTGCTGGTCTGGACCTGCCCTGCAGTTTTCTGCCTCTTGGCCTTTGTGCCAGGGAGTGTCCTTCACTTCTCTCCAAAGATGTCAATCCTGGTCATTGTGTGATGGTCCCAAAAGGGTCTTGTATCTATCTGAGCATTGACAGAAGGGTTCCCTCTCCCTGTGAGGTTTTGCTGTCCTCTTCCATTTCTGTGTATAGGTAAGATGGTTAGGGTCAAAGTGTTTTGTCTCTGCTAGTGCAGCCTTTTGCATTTCTTAGAAAGCAGCAAACACCACTAACTACTCTGACTTCTATCCCCTAACACGTCCATCTGTGGATGCCCTTGGGTTGATTTCCAACAGGAAACTCGTGATAACTTAATGCAGGGCTCTGTTACTAACAGCCAAGATATTCTGCTCCATGAGTTAGTCAGGTTCGGGACTACACCCTGACTCAGCCGGTTCCAGATTTCAGCGTTTGTCACCTGCAGCATGTAGCAGACTCAACGCCTATCACAGTGACTTTATTTGGAAACAGTCTTTGCAGATTTACTGAAGTTAAGATGAGGTCTTCCTAGACTGTGGCGATCCCTAAATGAAATGGTGATGTCCATCGAAGGAGAGGAAGATTCGGAGACAGACACACAGGGAAGAAGGCCGTGTTTCCAAAAAATGGGCAGGTGGGTAACAGGTTAACCTCACAGGACCCCAAGCATTTTCATCACTAGTGTTCCTTCGTGGCCTCCTCCTCACCACACATAAGCCTGTATTGAGCTCACTGGGAGCGCGCACTGCTGGGGCTGGGGGGAAGCACTTGGGAAGCAGTAGATGTGTGGATGATGCACCAGGGGCCAAGCCAGCAGAGAGCCGAGCTCCTCTGGGGAACCCGTCAGCTGCTCTTGGAAGGGGAGTCGCTCAGGGGCCTCTCCTATCCCATCACTAGGGGGCAGTAGAAGCTGGTTTGAGACCCACCATCAAAACCGCTGCCAAGGCTTCACATCTTTATCTCTTGTTTGTCCCAGGAAGCTTCCCAAGCCCCTTTGCTTGCTTTCGCGCTTTCTCCCCCATGCCTAGGATGTCCTGGGTCTTGGGGCCCCCTTTTTCGGATGCACTCAGTTTAGGGGCCCTTTTACAACATTGCCCAATCACGTTATCAGCCAACAGTGATTTTTCTTTTTAGTGGTTGTCAAAAAAGTGATCCTTAAGTTTTCAAATGGCGTTCCCTTGATTAGCAGGAAGTCTTGCTAGTAATGTGTAGAGACTTATTTATGAGTTGTATGCATATGCTGATATGAGAGTACTTCAAAAGGTTAGTGGGCCGGCGCCGCGGCT